TTTTCACTTCAACCCTGAGTATTCCCACTTAGGTGGCTGAAGGAAACTCATAATAAGTGGCTTGGTAAAGATCTCATTAAGTGGTAGTACTGGCACTACTACTCATGCCTTTTGACTCCCGGGATGATGCTCTTTCTACTAAACAACTCTGCTTCCCTATTTTCAGGGGAGAGGAGTGGTTCTACACAGAGACAAGAAAAAGAAAAGACAAAATGGTTACATTTTGCATTAATGGAAACTTTTTACACTAAAAATATGGGAGAATAGAATTTTAGTTCTGATAACTTGGTGAACCTGATACTCCAGAAACCTTTCTACCAAAAAATACTCCCAAAAGACTGAATAAATACATTTAAAGAAAAATCACTGAGCCAGCAAGTAAGAAAGAAATCCTCAGAGACTAAAAGTTAGCAAAGGTCCAGAGAACTGAGTGAGCACTGAAGCCAGCAGCTGCCCAAATCCCATGATAGTTCTAATACACAGAAAAAAATCACAAAAGTTTATCTAAATAAATTCAACATTGCTCTAACATTAGAAAATATGCTTATATGACTTATGGCATTTTTAGATAAAAGGGAAAATTATGATCACTTCAAATAGTATTTTGATAAAATAAAATACCCACTTATGATTAAAAATCAAATAAACAAAACTTGAAGCAAATATGGGACAGAAGAAAATTTTATTAATCTGATAATCTATATTATACCATCATTCAAACATATTCCTTTGAATAAATATTTTTTAAAAGAAGGAGAAGAATTTTCAAACCATACCATTAAGTATTTAAACCTAAATCTTTTTGGATTGTGTACATACATGAACATACTACATGTCTAGATTCTCACCTTGATTACTACAATTACCTGTTAACTGGTCTCTCTAGTTTACCTTATTTTTAATACTAGACACAACTTTCTCTTAAAGGGAATGTTGTATCACTCGTAATTTTTCCATCACAGTACCATGGTCCCATATGCTTCAAACTCTGCTTATTTCTAGAACCTGATTTTACTCTTTTCTCTCATGTCCCAGCACAGAACAGATTCCAACAGACCTTAGCATTAATATTTATAATGCTAACGTGTACATGTTAATAAAATCTAGGCGTTATTTCACTGGCATTGCATGATGAGTAATTCCCTATTTACACTTGTTCTGGTGAGTCTGGGAGTGTTTACTTGAGGTTTGTTTTATTATAATTTCACTTGAAATCAGTTCTTTTCGTCATTCTAAATATCTACTACATCAGAAGTCCTATCAAGTCTACTTCCAAAATATAACTTGAATCTGTTGACTTTTTTCCATCTCTCCTGCTAACCATGCTAGTCCAAACATTATCATCTCTTAACCTGGACCAATGCAACAGCCACCTGTATCTTGTTTTCATTCCTGACCCACCTCCCCCAAGAGTCAACATACTAGAGCCATGATGATCTTATTATGACACAAAATAGCTTTATGTCAATTCACGTCTTCCAAACCTTCGCTGGTTTCCAATCACACCAGAATAAAACCCAAAATTCCTTATACTTAGCTCACTTGATCCCAGCCTACCTTTCCAAGTTCATTTCCCTTACACATACTAAAGAGCCATAATGGCTTTCAGACAGTATTAGAATAAGCCAAGGTTGTTACTGCCTTGAGGACATTGCATTTGAGCATCTCTCTGCCTGGACTATTTTATCCTTTCTTCTTTGCAATTCAACTTATCCTCATCATTCAGAGAGTGCTCAAAAGTCCACTCTTCACAGAGGCATTCCGACTAACTCTGGCTAAGATCGGGCCCCCAAACATGTTCTGTCTAGCAAATAACCCTGTTTTAGCTTCTTCATGCCAATTATTTTCTGAAAGTCTTATTTTTAATATATTTAGTTATTGTCTATCTTTCCCAACATTTAGGAATCGTGGCTACATTGTTCACTGCTATGCCTTCTGCCAAAATAGTTCCCAGCACACCGTACATGAAAATGATCACATGCTGAACAAATGACTTCTTGTGAGCTTCGTTCAAATCTGTCTCTGAACAAATGTTCCAGTTTAAAAATCTGAGTGTTTTATATATATATTTTTTATTCAGTTATACTATGCTTCTCTAAACAAAAACCAATTTATTAATTACTGAATTCATGTGTCCTCTTCCTTGCTTTAAAAATACCATGGCAAAGATGGCTAAGTATTCTGTAAGTATCACATAGACAAAGATTTGGGGTTGGGGGGGGAAAGAATGAATGTTTGTCCAGTGCCCCAAATTAAGAGATGTTGTCCCCAAATCCTAAATTGGGGATATCTGTTCATATCACTTTACCTTGAACAAATAGAAAAATGTACTTTATAGGTAAAACCATTAGGGATTTAAGTTTTTAATAAGTTGTCTCTTCTTTTTATTATTGTAGTTCATATTGATTTAAAGATTAAAGAGAGACAATTTGCATCTTGTTAAATATTCTTAGTTGCTGATATAAATTCTATACAAACATCTTGTCTAAAGAAGTTCATTCAACATACATATACATCTGTTATATATTCCCCAAAATGCAGTTAATGCACATATATTTTGAATGGACGATTATAAAAACAATATATAGGGAAGACAAATGAAAATTCTAATATAGTCTACAACTAATGTACCCAAACTAACATGTTAGATGACAAAAGTCTATGACAAAGGTAAGAGGTCAGGGAAAGTGTCCAGATGGAGCAGTGATACCTGGGTTGTCTTGAGATAAATAAGAGAAGAAAAGGAAGAGAACTCCAGACAAGAAAATTTTGAAATATAAAGGTGCACAATAAGTGGGCATCATGTCAGCACTATATAGTGAATGTGAAGGATAAAGAGATGAGGCTGAAAATGTGGGCAAGATACAGATAATAAAATCCTCTGTTTACTATCCTAAGGAATTCAGATCTTGTCCTATAAGACACCTCTACAGACCCTTAGGGATTCTTACATGTTACTTCAAGGTTATGAGATTTCTTTGGGAAAAACATTATTATATTCAATTTTAAAACTCTAAAAAAAATTAACAAAAGGGTACTCTAGATCATTTCAATGACCACATCTTAATTGATTACTATGACAAGATTTCCGTTCACATATTTGTGTTTACGTGTGCATTGGCAAAAAAAAAAAAAGTAGAGACATATTATATATCATTTGTCAAGAGAAGCCAGTGAAATAATGAAACACTGAACAAAGGAGGATTTTGCAGCGGTTTAAATAAAGAAGTGAAAACACTGAATAATCTCTCAACAAGGACAAAATGGGCAGGCCTTTCTATAAAGAAGTTAGACTACAAAGGGTAGTAACCATTTGCTTTAAAGTGTCAGGTAAAAAATGAAAATAAGGTGGAGTCTAGCAAAAACAGTCTCCACTGAATCTACTGGTTTTATAATTTTGTTCCATTTAACATATAAATGTTTGAATGTTATAGCTGTATAAAACATACAGCAAAAGAGGTTTTTAGTTTTATGTTTACATATATTTACATACTGAAAATATTAACAGAGGACCGTGGGTATCTACCTGCGTTTGAGAAATTCTGCTGTGTATGACTGGGAGCCAATGAAAGATTTTAATAAGGAACTGACAGTTTTGTGCTCCAGAAAAATCACTCTGGCAGCAGTGTAGAGGGTTGGAATGAAAGTATTCAAATAAAGCAAAAAGAAAGTTACTTAATATAATAATGTGATAAAATGGTGAGGCCCTAAATTATGTGGGGGATATGAAGGAGAGATGGATAAGAGAATCAAAAGGACTTGGTTGTGGGTGAGGGAAAGAAGGGCATCTAGGATGAAGATCCCTTGGGTGACTTGGTGGTGAGATAAAGACCACAGGAAGTCAAAAAGTGGGGGTGAGAGGGAAGGAGAATAGAGATGATGAATTCAATTCAGCAAAGATTTGAATTTCATTTCAGCCAAAGAAAATCCAGTTATCTTTTCTGGGTTTCAGTTTTCTCAGTGACAGCTGCATTCATGAATTACCAAATTAACTATTATAGTGCTCTCTAAAAATATACAAAGCACTCCACATATGCTGAAAATAAGTCATGAAAAATCAACAAAATCCTAGGCTCTGAAGGAAATTCAGTAGGGTTTAAAACAGATACGGCAAAATTTTACTTAACACTTAAATTGTGACCCGGAGCACTCACCCAGTTATTGTACTTTGTATTCTCTCAGTCAAATGTGATAATGCTCGTGAGCATTATCTGTGAACAAGTCAAACCCAAGTGGAAAATGCAGACACCACCCTCGAGAGACTTAGAATAAAGCAACGGTCTGGTGCACCATTACTGAAAGAGTAGTGCGCTGGGAACTTTGACCCTATAGGCAGGGCTAGTCTACAAAGCTCTTTTACTTGGAGGAATCAACGTGGACTATCTTGAGCAGTCCAGTAAGAATATAAATATTTCGTACTTTATCCCTATATGGAGAAGGGTGGGAAAGGAGGCAGGAGGAAGGAAAATGCAACAATTATCACAAAACCGGTCTGTTCTTTCAGGCCACAGAGGGGCGTGCCTCGGGAAAGAATAATTCAAGCCTAGCTTGATGAGAATGCCAGCATCTCCCTCCATTAACTCATACAACAAAAGATAGTGTTTATAGGCCCCAAATGTTTAACTGTCAACTTGATCCACAAAGTACTACGTGCGACTGAGGACAAAGCCGAGGGGCGTACCTTTACCACAGAAGGCTGCTTCGGTAGGGTCGCACTCGTACAGTGCCCCTCTAGGCAACCGGTCAGGGGCTCCCAGAAAGTCGGGGGTTGAGAAGCGTGCGAGTATCGGGGTGGCAAAGGGCCAAATCCCCCAGTGCAGGGAGTACTCAGGCAACCTGGACCAAAAGGCTGCAGCACAGCGCCCCCAAGGCTCACCCACGCGCGTGCAAACCCGGAAGGGCGCAGCAGACCAACTGCGCAGCCTCCGCCGGGCCGGGGCGGGGCGAGGGGCGGGGCGACTGGGGTTGGAGGCGTGCGGGGCGCACGAACGCATTCCCCACTGCCTGCTGGGAATTGTAGTCTGGCAACAAGCCCACTTCCCTTAGAGGGCACTGGGAACTACATTTCCCGGTGAGGGAGAGGCTCTGGCAGGCCGCGCCGTACGGGGGCGTCACTCTGTTGCGCATCAGGGTCCAAAGCCAGAGAGCTTTTGAGGGGGGCAGGTCGAGGCACGGGCTGTGTTTTCCTTCCTTCTCCGCTCTTACGCGGCGCCGGCTCTGCCCTCTCACCCCGAGCCGTGCGCCCTCCTTTCTGCTCCCCGTGTTATTTTTTTCTAGAGGTTCCAAGAGAGCGGCCGTTGTCCCGCGCTGGAGTGAGGGGCGCGCCCCTCTTCGGCAAAGCCAACCCGGCACCGGGCCAGCAGCTCCATGGGCCCAACCCGGAAGCCCAACGTGTGCCACCAGCTGAGTCGCCGGGCACAGGGCTTCTTCACGCGCGACGCAGGCGTGGTGCAGAGGACGAACCTGGGCATCCTGCGGGCTCTGGTCTGCCAGGTGACCGCCAGGCGCGAGGCGAAGGGCAGCGAGGTGCCTGACGGTCCAGCTTGCTGCTGGGGTGCAGTTTTTCTGCGATCGAGCCCCCTGTTAAGGTCTCACGGGGTGGGGGTGGGGGGTGAATCCTTCCTTTGAAACTGAGATATTGTAGATGGATATTAGTAGAACCGCCAGATGCTTTAGTTTTAGCAAACTGTCTTTCTAGAAGTTGATCACCCCACTTAAACCACATGTGAGCAAGAGAGTGAGATTAGACTGTTTTTAAATAACGTAGAAATTTCTTGGAAAATTGTACATTTAACTATCCAACTTAAATGGTGTACAGTAGAGGCTGATGAGTTATTTGTTAAACTGAAATTCCTTGTGTTTTTCAGGAAAGTACTAAATTTAAGAATGTTTGGACTACCCATTCCAAGTCACCTATAGCCTATGAGAGAGGAAGAATATATTTTGACAATTATCGGTGCTGTGTCAGCAGGTATCTTTTTGGTGATAATTTTTGCTGTAATTCACCTCGCTGTTGATTTTCTCAATTTTTATAGAGCCACATGCTTGTAATAGAGTTAAGTGAGATAGACTGGGAAAATGGGTTCACAAGAAGAGTAGATGTTAAAATACATGTAATTTCTGAGTCTTGTTAAATCTAAAGCTGCAGGTTTCATATTTTAAGTACCCGTTTGAAGCAAAACTATGATATAGGCAAAATGATAGATTGTCCAGAGTACTATATAAAATTTTATTCTACGTAAAGGATACCAGAGTCAAGAGAACCAAGTATCCAAAATTTAGATGTTGCTTTAGAAAAGAATTTCTGTATTTTGTTCTGGAAGTACTTGCTTGTTTTAAGAGGAAAAAAATTAACTTCCTTAAGTAGTGAATGATATAGCGAATCCCCATACACTGATTACTTAGATTCAAAGTCTATCATGAATTTGGCACATTTGCTTTACTCGTCATCCTCTCCACACACACACAAACACTCACTTAAGACTATTTCAAACATCATGCCATATTTAAGCTTGCATCTCTAAAAAAAAAAAAAAACTTTTTTCTTTTAAAGTTTTGTTATAATTCACATACCATACAATTCACCCATTTGAAGTACACAATTCAATGATTTTTAATTCATTGAATATGAATTTGACAAATCATCAATGGTTCATATAGGCAGCCATCACTGCAGTTAATTTTAGAAAATTTTCATCACCTCAAAGAGAAATGCTATACCCTTTACCCAATTCCTCCACTAGTCTCAGCCTTGAACAGTTAACTGCTAATTTCTATCTCTACTTTGTATAGAGACACCTATTATGAGCATTTCATATAAATTGAACCACATGTATTACTGGTCTTTGTGACTTTTTTTAGTAGATTACTAGTTTATTATTTAAAAAATAACCAGCTAGAAGAGCTGCATAGGGCAAGGTGTGTGGGATGGGACACAGAGCTTCCATGCTCTCTGAGCTTGCTTCTGTCCCTGAATGTCCATGTGTTCACCAACCTAAAAGTTTCCCTCCTTTTCTAATAAATACATTAAATGTTAAACATTTTTCTCTAAGCATTGTTTTTTTTTTTTTTTTTTTTTTAATAGAGGCATGCTTTATTTATTTGTTTGCTGGTTTGTTTGTTTTGTTTATACATGCACTGGGTACAGTCAGAAGAGCGGGAGGGTGAGAGAATTCACCAGAGGCAGAGCGGGGAGCAGAGCAGGCAGAAGGACCGAAGTACACTGCTGAGGGGAGCAGCGGGCAGCAGGAGAGGTCTGCACGCCATGTGGGACCCTCCTCTGGTGGCCGGGGAGCAGCCGGGGATCGAACCGGCGCCGCAGAGGCCGCGGGCAGCTTCGCAACCCAGCGCTCAACCGCTGCGCCACCGGGGAGGCCCTCTAAGCATTGTTTTTGCTGCAGCCCACAAATGTTGATTTATATATTCGCTTTCATTTTATTCAAAATAATTTAAAATTTCTCTGAGACTTATTGCACCTATGTGTTAACTATAAGTATGTTGTTAAATCTCCAAATATTTTGGGATTTTCCAACCCCTTTTCTGTTATTGACTGCTAATTTAATTCCATTGTGGTCTGAGAGTACATTTTGCGTTTTTTCTAGTCTTTTAAATATTAAGGTGTATTTCATGGCCCAGATTACGGTCTATCTCTGTGAATGTGAGCTTGAGAAGAATGTTGTTGGATGAAGTATTCTATAAACAACATTCTCTTTGTGTTTATTTTCTACAGTTAGAATATACAGTTTTGGGGGCAGCAGTTTGCCCTGTCAACTCAGTTCTCTGATATATCTAACAAGAGTTGATTTTAAGCTTTTTCAGCCTTTTTTCTTGTTGTCAGAACAGAAGTGATGATTTCTAAGCTCTTACTGGACCAGAAACTAGATGTTGGGATTGAGGTAGTATTGAGGTAGTATTTGAGATTTGTTTTGACCTCAGGAGGGTTCCTCCCAGCAGTCTTTCTCTTACTGTCTTTGGCAAATTAACTAACCTACAGTTTACCCTCATGGTCAGTGAATCTACCAGTTTCTTCCCATTTGCCCTTTAAGCACAACCTCCACAAGTTTTCAGAGTACTCTGAGACTAGAACTTCTCCATGCTCTGGTGTAAATGAACTCATTTCCACCGAGAAAAGTCTAGGTACTATGTACTTTATGGCCTACTTTCAGGCAAAATCTTTGTGCCAAGGTGGTGGTGCCTGGCATGCCTCTGAGTGACTACACTACTTTAAAAGCTGAGCGATTGTGGTTGGGACAGAGACATTAACCTCAGATGTTGCCTCTCTCAGCGTTGGATCATATTTTAATGAAAGGGGATGGGGCAATCAGGGCTCAGGTATTCTTAGGGATGCCACCCTCAAGATAGAATCTTTCTCCCATGAGTAGAAAGTATTCAGAAGTTGGGAACCTCACTTGTTGACTTCTATCAGTCAGGACTCAGTCCAGCCACAAGAAAATGAGGACTGAGTGAGAAATGCTGTCACCCTACCCTTCCTTGGAAGTTAGCTCTCTGTAAGCTGGGGCTAGTTGGCGCCCTGTGCTCTTAACCATACCAGTCTGGAGTGGAGTTTTCATCTTGCTGAGCTGAGAATGGTAGAGACAGAACAGATTCTAGTTCTATCACCACACACTCACTATTCTTAGTGAGCTACAGTAGATTTTCTTGAATAAATGTTTCTTCATTTCCTGAATGCCCTCAGGAACATTTTCAGAGACTTTAAATAGTTGTCCTTTCTTAATTTTCACCAGTTTTCCTGGAGAATGCTCTCCTATAGAATTCCTCATACTTACTGCAAGTGGAAATTGATGTTTTCTTATATGATCATAATATCATTATTAAACCTAGAAAAACTAGCAATAATTATTTGATATCACTTCATTTCTATTTCTTAACTTTCCCAATTTAGAGGTATCTGCTTTAATTATTTTTTTTTAATCAGAGTAAATGGCATTGATTGATAATTTAATGGTAGTTTGGAAGTTCTTTAATATACCATTGAGGTATTTTTTACCCAGAGGTTAGAATCACATAACAGGTTGCTTTCATGGCCTGTGAAATTCTGTGTGGTTTAAACCTTTGAGTCAGTAAGAGAGCATCAAGGGTGAATAAAATTGTCACCCTGAATGTTTATTTTCTAAATAGTTGTTCATTTTAAAATTCATCAGTTAAAAAAAAAATGAAACATTTATGATCACATCTCTGTAGTAAGCAAAGAAGTGTAAATTAAAGTTAAGAGGCTTTTTCACGTCAAAAATGCAATATTCAATAATAGCAACAGTATAAACTTGTCCAGACTTTCTGAAAAGACATTTGGGAGAAACAGAAAACTTTTTTATCCGCTAATTTTCACCCTGAAATAATGGGACTCTTATCTAATTTTTGTTTGAAAGTACTGGAATAACAGTTTAGGAAAGCCTTGAAATTCAACAGATTATACATATATTTTATATATATAAAATATATATATTCCCTGTGTGTGTGTGTGTGTGTGTGTGTGTGTGTGTGTGTGTATATATATATATATATATAGGGAATTTTCAAAGGTAAAGAGAGAATTTGATATGCTTCAGTTAGGGAAAATAATCTGCAGGTAGGTATGTATTATATAAAGAAAAACTAGTGGGAAATAAACCAAATGTTAATAATGGTTATTTTGTTAGATTTATAACATTATAATCTACTTTAATTCTATTGTCAGATTTTTTTTTCTATGTACATGTATTGTGAATTTTGTGAGAACAAAAAATTGTAAACATTTAGTTGAGAAGAAGAAAGCAAAGTAGCAAATTGTGTTTTGTTATTCCAGGTCTCTGAACATAAAAAAGATTACTTAAACCTGAGCAAACACTGATTCAGTTATCAAGAATGATCTTTTTTTTTTTTGCCCCAGTGTTGCATCCCAGCCAAGAAAACTTTATGAAATGCCAAAATGTTCCAAGTCAGAAAAAATTGAGGATGCTTTATTATGGGAATGCCCAGTGGTAAGATTTGTTTTTAGAGCATTTGTTTCCAAAGCAATTATAACCAGAGAGAATTGGTTATTGTTAATATATAAGGGAAGAAAGTTTAAATATCATAGTAATTCCTGAATCATGAAAGAAGTCAAGAACAGATTCTATCTTTTAATTATCATTTTCCTCATGAAATAATTCTATTGTAAAACCTTTTACATATATTGTAAAAGATATTTTTTAAAGTTTATAGCATTTGCAAATCTTGAAAACTAAAAAAGGTTTTGAACTGATTAAAAACTCTATAAGCACCAATGTTAGTTTATAGTTATTCTTAGTGGTTTAAGATATGATTCTACCTTATATACTGAAACAATAAAATACTTATATAGGGCAATAATTAGTGTTATATGACTCTTTAAATGTGAATTCTGAAGAATTTTCTCTAAGAATCTTGTTAGGAAATTCAGAAGATTAAAATAAAAACTAAAATAATAGAATAAGCTTATTTCATCAAATTAGCATTGCCGGGTATGTGTCTTTCACAGGAAAATAATGATTTTATAAGATGTTAAACATTGTATAGTTAGTAAAGAGTTGGAGGCATTGGATTGTAGACAAATTTGTGATACTCTGAATTCAAAGGTTAAACACCTTTATAGAATTATTTCTCAGAGCCTTTAAGACTAATAATACTTTTAATACTAATGTGCTTGGTGATTGTTGAACCATTTTCTCAAACTTTTGATAATAGAAATTCCTTTCTTGAGATATTTTTAAATATGTCTCGTGGTCTTAATGGTATCAATATTCTACATTGGACCAGAGTTCTAAATGCACTTAGGAAATGTTCCTACTCTTGTAGGAACATTGTTCTTTAGGAAAAATAGAGCTTATAATATGTGACCAGAAATAATGTTTAAAGGATCAGAGGCTATACTTAGAATTTACTATTAAAATTCTTTTTAAAAGAAAACTTGATTTTACATAAAATTATAGTTTCCTGGAGCTGCTGCTTTTTCCCTGGACACTTAATCTCAGTTCATAGATGGTTCTTTTTTAAAAATCAGAAAGCTCTTTTTTTAAATTGATGTAAGATGAATTTGTAAAAGTTATAGGTGTAGGGCCTCCCTGATGGCGCAAAAAAAAAAAAAAAAAAACAACCCTGATGGGTTAAAATCTCAGTGCTATCAGGCTATCGCCAGCCACTGCGGCATGAGTTCAATCCCCAGCCAGGGAGCTAACCCACATGGCACTGCAGACCTCTCTGTCTCACCTGCTGCTCCCCTCAGCAAATCTTCCTGTTCTGCTCCCCACTCTGTCTCTGGTGAATCCTGTCACTCCCCTGCACCTCTGGCCTATACCCAGTTCTTGTATAGGTAGTGTATAAGTAGTGTATTTCAGTCCATCTGCCTGTTCTGTTCCCCACTCTGTCTCTGGTGGGTTCTCTTTACACCGCCCCCGCCCCCATAACTCTGGCCTGTACTCCCGGCTCTTGTGTGTATAAATAAATAAATCTTAAAAAAAAAATACACAAACAACAAAATAACAAACAAAAAAACCCAAAAGAACTGTTTTCATTCTTTTCTGTTTATTACCAACCTAAGAAAACCCTGGATCCATTTCACCTTCTCTAAATTTTCCTCTTAGAGCTTCCTTTTTATTCCACAAAACAAAGTACAACTTTTTACTTCTCTTTCTCTTCCTGCCTGAGACTTCCACCTTGTGGTAGCTCTTCAGTGGCAGGTACGCCCAAATAGCTATTCTCTCCCTTTTGGCGGAACATGTCATTAGTGACCACGTCCACCTTCTGTTCTCTGACTGCTTTGACTATGAATTTTAGCTTTTAATTAGGGGTTAGAGTAGTGCTATGGTGAGTGATGGGTAATTTTCCCTTTTGCCCTTTTCGCTTCTATCAAAAGTAAATCTTGGGTCTCAGAATAAAAAAATGTCTGTTCCAGCCTATGACTCTTAGTTGTTAAGTGATTAAACATGGTTTTAAGAACTGTTATTTTTATCATTGTTATCACAGGACTAACATTAATGCTTTGTGCTTGTTTCAATTTTTGACTCATATTTGTTGACTACTTAATGATATATAATAAGTAATAATAAATTATTTCAAATACTGTTTAAGTGCTTTATATAAATAAATTCACTTAATGAGCTAATGATGAAAAGAATTACCCATAATCTTATCTTTCCTTGCCTTAATTCTGTTTGCACATTTAATATTTCTTATTTGGTTTACTTAAATTTAACTCTTTCTTTAAGCTGTTTTTCTTTGGATATCTACTACTACAAATTGTTCATGGCCAAACAATTTTTATTTTGGCTTTTGTTTGTTTTTTGTCAACTTTTTTTTTTTCGGTAAGCAATTTTGTTTATACATCTCAATTTTTTTAGGGGGAAATGCTGCCCAGTCCATCAGATTATAAATCCTCACTCATAGCACTGACTGCTCATAACTGGCTACTTCGTATATCAACAACAACAGGAGAAATCCTTGAGAAAATATATCTTGCTTCATATTGCAAGTTCAGGTATTCGGGCTTCATTATTCAACCGTTTATTATAAAATTTTGAGACTTGTGGCCCAGGAAATTTCAAGCTTTTTAAAAAGCATTTCCTATTGTATACTCAGATCTCAATTTCCTCTTTTTCTCCCCTCATGACTATATTTGAGGATCTGAAGATAGCCACCCTTTATAATTTTCTTTGTATCCTTCTTGAGTAACTAATCAATAAACTTTAAAAAATAGTTCCTGTGATTCCCATCCACAAATATGTCTTATATGTAGGCTGCACTTTATTATAGATTTTTGTTGAAGACTAGTCTGTTTCAATTAAATTACCTGCCTACTACAATCTAAGAACTGTTATTTTATTAGTTTCATAAATTAGAAATTTTTGGAGTGAATATGTGCATGCAAATGTGAAAGTAACATTTTGATTGCTTCTTGTAACTTCCCTTTTAAAGCAAGAATGGTTATTTTTGTTTTCTTAGTTTTGAATATCATTAAACACAATTTTAGTCATCAAAACTCCAAAGGATTAAAATCATATATATTTTTATAAGGATAAGTCATATAGGGATCTAGAGGAAATTCTTTTAGCTATTTGTTTTTAAAATAAATTCCTTTGTGGGCCTCCCCGGTGGTGCAGCGGTTGAGCACTGGGTTGCGAAGCTGCCCACAGCCTCTGCAGCGCCGGTTCGATCCCTGGCTGCTCCCCGGCCGCCAGGGGAGGGTCCCACATGGCGTGCAGACCTCTTCTGCCGCCCGCTGCTCCCCTCAGCAGTGTACTTCTTCAGTCTGCCTGTTCTGTTTCCCGCTCTGGCTCTGGTGAATTCTCTCACCCTCCCATGCTTCCAACTGTACCCAGTGCTTGTATAAATAAATAAATAAATCTAATTTAAAAAAGAAAAAAAAATTTAAATAAATTCCTTTGTTTTTATGATTTAAGTAACTAAAGTACTCTTATTTTTTTTTTCTTTCAAATATAAGGAAACTGACCTAAATAAATAAACATCTCTTTATTCTTTAAAAAGATACTTGAGCTGGGACACTCCTCAAGAAGTCATTGCAGTCAAGTCAGCTCAGAACAAAGGCTCAGCTTTGGCACCGCAGGTAGACCTCTTTAAACATTCAATAAAATAAAGAATCTGTTTCTGTAGGAATTTGAATGCACATATGCCATGAAAGAACCAATGATCTATATTTTCTGAATATAAATTTGTTTTCAACAAATTTAAGAAATTCCCTTCAAGCCTCTCTAGGAAACTACAACAGTTTATTTTACATTCCATAATGGAAAGAGGTTGACAGGACATTGTTCTTCAAAGTAAGGGAGCTATTCTTTTCAAGCAGAGAAATCACTCAAGTTTTTATCATTAATATTTTTTTCTCATTTCATATAGGTATATCAGTCTAACACTACTTTTAAATGATAATTGTACGTGTTTCACATTATTAATATTAGAAATTCCAATTTGCAGTACAAACTATTAACAATATATTGAATGTAAGATGTACCAGTTTATAATGTACAGCATATAAATATGTTTTGCTAGTGAGTATATAAAATGTTTTTGTTATATAGTAAATAAAATGTTTTGTTGCTTAAAAATACTCTTAAGAAATGTATACATTTATAATTTTTTATATGTATATATGAAGGGCTGATGGTTTAGTGGGCATACTTTAAACATGTATGACTTCCTCTTTAAAATAACTTTGCAATATGGATAAATGGATGTTTTTCATTCATGAAAACAGAGTGTTTCTGAAATATTCTTGAGAGCTACCTGTAACTTTGGTCTTTCCCTTTAGGTGGGCATTCAACAGCCTGTTTTGCTCTACCTTGCAGTATTCCGTGTTCTACCTTTTTCACTCATAGGGATTTTGGAGATCAACAAAAAAGTGAGAACTCATTTCTGATTTAATTGAACGTTAATTTTTGACAATAAGATGTAATATTGTCATTTAATTATTTGTATATTAGGTGTTTTGATTGGAAGTGTTCCCCTAATAGTAAAAAGCTTGCTGATCTAGTTTATTTCCTATCAAAATACGTGAAAACATTTGACATGGGAAGAAAGCCTAATTATCCCTTCATCTTTCTGCTTACTATTATGCTTCTCAAATGAATAGTGTTGAATATCTGTGGTTAATAAACCTCTATTTTATATGATTATGAAATGAGGAAGGTTTTTTTTTTTCCAGAGGAATAGTCCAAACCTTGTTAAAATGATCATTTAAAAAAAAGATGAAAAATTGCAAGAAAAAAGACTCATTTTAATTACAAGATATAGATTTAAAACTTGTTGTATACTACATCAACAAATCTTATAATTAAGTATGTAAATTTTCTAACTCATTCAGTTTTGGATTTTTTTTTTTTGTTTGCTGTCTTCTTCATTTGTGGGGCAGTTATATGAGAAGAAAGAAAGGACAAATTTCCTTTGAGTAAAAGAGTTAGTAATTTTTTTTTTAAAGTTGTTATGTATTCTGGGAAAATATTTATTGGACTGTTCTACTAGTCCTAATTAAGCACCTAAAGTCTTATAGAGGACAGATACTGAGAATCTACTAATACTAACTAGCAAATAAGATGAATGTATTTAAAAGTTTTAAATTATATAAACATAATATTCTAAACTGCATTACCACTAAAGAATAATAACATTTATTGTTTTGTGTCGGGCAGTTTGAATATTTTGCAACATTGTAGCACGTAATGTATTTAAGGAGGAGGTTAAGCAGCTATCAAAATCCTAGGGACAGTAAATGGAGGAGATGAAATTTGAACCAGATTTGACTCTAAGGTATAAACCAAATTTTAAAACAGAGTGGCTACTTTATTATATCACTCATTATTGAAATAAGTATGCATTACATAAGTCCTCCAAATGAGAATCAGTGAATAAAACTCATCTGCTAGTCAAGATGAAAGCAAACCATAATTATCCTTTTAAGAGATGACAAAAAGAATGTAATTGTTCTCTTTGTGCTTGTGTATTAAGTAATTGTGTATGCTTATTACAGCCTGCAGTAGAATTGAACTCTTAGCACAATCATAAATTGTTTTTATTTATTCTTAAATGTTCAAGATAATCTTGTAAGGGATTTAGTTTTGATTATGATTTTTGTAATTAAAGTATATCTTTCACTTAGCAGGTATAGTAAGACTCAGGGGCCAGACTCAGAATGTACTTCTAAGCTAATTACTGGAAGAGAAAATCTACACTAAGTAATGTGTATTGAGTAGAAATAAAAGCAGATTTTCAATTACTTTCTAGTTCTTTCATTGCTATGAATATTTGTCTGTGTTAACTTGTGTTTAATATTAAAATAGGCACAGAATCGAGTTCTTTATCAGAGCTCTGTGGAGAATCTTGACAGGATTCAGTGTGTAGAACAGAAGCAGAAAGGGAACAGTGAGCCAAAATCTTATTCAAGTTCAGCTAGGCTAAATGCTTCTGTCTTTAACATGTTTGTTTTTATATGACTTAAAAAATCAAACAGTGTTAAGGATTTAAAGAACAAAGTGATGATAAAATTCTTGAGTCAGCTGCTTAGATCTAATAAATTTCTTTATAAATTGTTGTAGTAAATAAATAAATAAATAAATTATGTTGTAATACAAAGACTAGATCCCTACCAAGATATTCATGGTAGAATTAATATTTATTTAGAACTAGATAGATTCAGTGTGTGCCTATGTTTGTTATTAAGAAACTGGTAAAACTATAAACAAATGGATGAAGCAAATGAATGCTACTACATCATTTTGAAGGGTATGTGCTACATTTCCACTAGTGTTCCAGTCTAAGATGCCAGTGGGTTACCCCTCACTGCTCATACTGCTTTAATTTCAAGTTTCTAAATTATAATTAAGTTATACTACTAGGCAGCAGTGTTATAGTGGTGACTTTACGATTAAGCAAATGCACAAACCACTATGAACACTCAGAAGACTGGCCTTCTGGTCTTTTCTCAGGTGATATCTACCTTTCCCCTCAGATTTTCGGGAACGTTACAGATGCTACCTTGTCTCATGGAATACTGATTGTGATGTACAGCTCAGGACTGGTCAGACTCTATAGCTTCCAAGCCATCACTGAACAGGTAGAAAAAAGGGAAATTTGCCATATTATAATTAACTTGACGTGTGGACAGAGGTATGATTTTTTTTAATGAGATGCTTTTAGAGTAAGGGATTTATGTAGATTTCAACTCTGCAAAACTACAAATTCAGAAAGACAAAGTAACCTCAAATAGAGGGGGTGGGAAGATAAATGGAAAGACCCTTAAATAAAGACATTTTCTCTGTTGTATGCATGTGAATTTGATTTTTTTTCTCTTCAGACAGCAAATAAGTAGGTGCTAAAGCCACCATTTTTGTTCTGTTTTGTTTTGTTTTTAGTTCATGCAACAGAAACTTGACTTAGGTTGTGCATGCAGATGGGGTGGGACTACTGGAACTGTAGGAGAGGCTCCTTTTGGCATTCCTTGTAATATTAAAATCACAGGTATGGTTACTATATGGTATTTTTTTCACATTAAAAAAATAAGTGGTCATATAGTTATTAATTTTAGTAATATAAGTGTTTTTTCATAATTTAATTATAAACTCAATTCATTTTATTCCTATACAGTATATTCCTTGCTATGAATAGGTATCAATAAAAATCTGTCAGTTACTAAACTGTCCTGGGGATACTGGGTCTTGCTTGACCAGAGATCACAGACCTTTGACAAATTACTTTACCTTCCTGTTCTTGATTTCCTTACATACAAAATGATGAATTATAGCAAATGATACCATCTTAGCTTTCTTATAATGTAATATTTTACAATTCTGTGAAATTTACCCACTTCTAAGAAAAGTATTTTGCAAGGAAAATATAACTACCTATGCCATCTGAACAATGACAAATCTTAAATACAAAGAGAACGTCCCACTATACTTAAAGACTGACAAAGCACAAAAAAGAAAATTATATACAATTCTATAAATATAACAAAAGTGTTTTACCTTTATTGGCTTATCAGATTCAGAAGGTTAATAAAAAGGAAATCAACCACTACTCAAATTCAGTGATATATATTTAAGAAAATAAACCATGACTGATGAGAGTTCATCTCTGGAATACAAAGATTGTTTAATATTTGCAAATAGATACAAAAATCACATGAGTAAATTAACAAAGAAAATATGCTTTATTTTCCTAATATGTGTTTATCTTCCTAATATGTATTTACCTTACTCTTTGTTCATTAAGAGTCATTTCTTACCATGATCAGAACATTTCCTTTTATTCCGAACTATAAACCATATTTTAGGTGAAACACCAAAGGTTTTTCTAACAAAGCAGAATGAGACAAGAATTTTTTCTATCATTATTATTTAACATGGTATTATCAACAAATCAGGAAATAGAAATAAAAGATTTAATTGTCAGAAGAGATGTTCTTTTTATTAGTAAGAAATTTATAAAAGCTACCAAGAGTTCAATGTAGCCAATTAAGTTATCCAAGAAGTTCAAAATATTTTTTCAGTCATTTAAGTTTTAAAATGTCTTAAGCTGAAGTAGGCAGTTTTCTGAAAACTGAACCCAAGCAAAATTCCTATGTTCAATACAAATATACTAGCAGGAATTATTAATTTTAAAACTACAGGCTACAGTGGTTACTAGAATGAGTTATTTTGAAAAGTTTGCCAGAATGGCAGCATTATTCTTGCTGAAATACAAAGACTAAGTGAGTAAAACAAAACACATAGAGCCTGAGGGATTGTGCTATGTTTGGGTCCCTCTTTGTAGGAAGTAGACTGGATTTGGGATCAGAATCTTGTTCTGCTGCTAGTAAGTGTGAAACTCCATTACTAAGTGTTGGTGTGATGATGGGAGAATCACATAACCTCTCTGACCCTCATTTCACAACTTCAATGTTTGAAATTATGATTTGTAAAAATTATTTTGTAAAACAGTATAACTCAATGATTTTAGAAAAATAGCATGTTATTCTGGAAACCTTGACTTTTTTCCCCAGACTGTAGAGAGTAAAATCTTACTCATTTCTTCACATTTGTTTTTCAGAATCATTAGTCTATACAAAATACTCATTTTAAGTCTAAAATATTGCTAATTACAAGACAGTTCATTTTCACTATAGAAAAATTAAGTAATAAATGAAATAGAGAAAATTTAGAATACTTATAATCCTCATGTATGAGTTAACTTATCACTGTGGGAGTTTTTTAATCTAATCTTATAATGTATATATTTTTATGTATCTAAAAGTAAAATAAAATTACAGTGTAAATAATTGCTTTTTAAAAAAGTACCGAGTCCCAAGGGAGGGGCGGAGAAAGGAAGGACTAGAGTCAAAATAAGGGGGGGTGCAATTTTATGGGGAATATAACCAAAATGAAAATGTATACATTGTGCAAAGATGAAAAAAGATGTAAGAATTATATAAAATAAAATATTTAAATAAAAAAATAGTACCCACTTTAATTGTACAGTTTGAGTTTTGCCAAATGTATGCACCCATGTAACCACCACTGCAATTAAAATGTTCTCTTCTCTACAGAATGTTCCTCTGTGCCCTTTTCAGCTAATCCCTCCCTATCCTTTGCCTTGGGCAACCAATGATGTGCTTTCTTTATATTTTCTAGTTTCATATAAATGGAATCAGATGATGTGTATTTTTTCTGTCTGGTTTCTTTCAGCTTATTATTTTTGAGATTCATTTTGTTCCATAAATGGGTGGCTTCACCTACTTTTAAATGTTAGTATTCATATTAATTTCCATCTGGAGTATTTATTAGATGGTCATGTTACAGCAATAAAGCTGCAGTCCTATTCCACACAATACATCAAAATAAATAATAGATGAACCAAAATGAACTCAAAAAATAAACATCAATATCCAGGGGACGTGGTTGCAAAACATGCTATTAAGGAATAATATTTAAAGAGTTCTAAAAATTAGTAAGAAAAAGTGACAACACAAAAAAATGAAGAGGATATTATTCAAGAGAAAAGAAATGACTTTTAATTAGGAGAGGGCAAATGTGGTACTGATAGAAAAAAGCAAATTAAATTATCAAGAAAATTATGATACATCTTTTCAGAATCTCAAGTGTCAGAAAGTCAGACAACAGGCTTGAAGTATAGAAGAGGCACTTTCATTTATTAATGGAACTCTTTCTAGAGGACAGTTTGTCAATATGTATCAAAATTTTAAATGCATATACTCCTTGAACAATTCCATTTTTAGGAATTTATCCCAGATATATTCACTTGTATACAAAATGAGAAAGTAAATTATTAGGTTGGAAACTGTGTACATTGATAGGTGACACTATTATTACTTCATTGTTTGACAGTATAATAAATTTATTTGTTAAAAAGAGAAGAATTATTTTTCCCCTGCATAGATCAATTTCCAATATATATTACTAAATGAAGAACAGGAGTGTAAAACTGTGTTTATAAAAAGCCTCATTTGTGTATTCATATTCATATATTATACATATGAGCCTTTAAATTTGCTTAGACTATTTAGAAGGACACACAGAAACTATTTAGGTTACCTCTAAAGGATACAGAAGAAAGGAAGATTTAGTTTGCATTATATATCTTCTGATACTTTTTAAATATGGGTGCTTATATTACCTTTGCCAAGTTCCATGGTTCTGTTTGTGTGTGCATACACACACAGCTTTTATAGGTTTTTAAGACCTTGAGTTTTATGTCATTTTATGGATGAACTATAAATTTATTTAACCAGGTTTTTTATTTTCCATTATTAGTAACAGTATAAGAATTTTTTTGTATTGAACTTTTTTGATGAAAGGATAAGCATACATACATAAATACCATAGAGTCACGGATTTTTATGTGTCCAGAATAATATAGTCATTATTCTTATCAATACTACAATTGTCCCACATTTGGCCAGTGAACTCTCTATTTTGACATGCTCCAGTAGTCTTGGAGAATTTCCTTTCACAGGTTTACCTTTTACTTTCCTTGTCTTAGACCTAACAAGGAGTCATTTTAGTAGGAAACATCATTATTGATTGTGTTAGTTTCCTGGGCTGCTGTAGCAGCACAAACTTAGTACCTTTAGACAACAGAAATTTATTGTCGCACTGATTTGGAGGCTAGAAGTATTGGCAGAAACAATCTCCCTCTGAAGACTCTAGAAAAGGATCCTTTCTTGCCTCCTCTTATTTCTGGTTGTAGCTGGATTGTGGCAACAATCCAGCTTGACTTGTGGCAACAATCCAGCTTGACTTGTGGCAACATAACCACAATCTACCTCTATCTTCATGTGTTCTCCTTCCCTCTGTGTCTTCAAATCTATCTTTTTATAAGGACCCCAGTCATTGGATTTAGGGCCCACCCTTACCAATGCAGTCTCATCTTAATAAATCTGAAAGACCCTATTTCCAAAGAAAGTCATACAGATACTGGAGTTAGGATTTCAACATCTCTTTTTGAGGGATGCAGTTCAACCCACAGTGGAGACCAAGAACTAGTTGTATTCATTGCCATCAGATCTCTCTACCGTAAGGCCCTTTCTATGAACTGAACTGGAAAATACATTAAAATTAAAATTAATTTATTCAGTTCCATGTTTCCAAATTTAACTGTTTGATTTTATATTTGTATGTCTTTTGGCTTACATTGAACTTCTTGATTCTTAATGAGACTTTATTCTGTAATATATGTATATACTATAGTCTCAAAATTACCCTATTAGTGTTATTGCTGAAAAGTATGGAGAAAAGGTTATGATTTCTCTTCAGTTCCTTGTATATCCTTAGTGGACAGTCCAGAAAGTGTACTATTACAGTAATATATTCAAAGATTATTTGAAGTTTTCATTCTATATAATTTCATTCTATATGAAGTTTTCATTCTATATAATATAATTCTATATAATTTTATTCTATTTTGTATAATTCAGTTTGTTTTAACTTTTGGTTTTCTCCATCTCATTTCACTTTATTCTTTAAGTTGTGAAATGTATATATTTAAAGGTCAAAGTTATATAAAAAGATATATTCTGAGAATTTTTAATTCCATGCTTAGTCCTTTCATTCTGTTACTTCCCTCCTAATCCACCCTACCTCCAAGGTAACCATTGTTTTTAGTTTCTAGATTCATTCTGTTGTTTCTTTTTATAAAAATAAGCATATGTATGTGCATCCTTCATTTCTTATACCAAAAGTATTTTGTATACTGTTCCATATGTTGTATTTTTATCCAACACATGTAAATTTTTAAACATTTTTAATAGAAGAAATACGTAAGTATAAAAGCATCTCTATTTTTGTCACAGAAAAAAATCATATCCTATTATAGCCATTCTTTTATAAATAATACAACAATCATTGTGTACCTTTTATGTTAAAACTTTCCAATGAAGTATCATTGTTTTACCTTCAGCAGACTCAGCATTAGTATACCTACAAAGATCCTGTATTATTTTCTTTTTAATGCTCCTTTTCACGGTCTAGCTAGTGAGAGCCCCTATGCCTGCTGTCTTACCCTTCTAAACACTACCCTGATATCCTTGTAAACATCCTTTCTTTGTAGCAACAACAGAATGATTTAAACCTATCCTAAAATTTATTCACCAAAGAACATAGAAACAGCTTTTTTCTTTGAACTTGATTGTTTTAATTGAAAATAATATTAGAGATAAAAATGTGGGCTCTTGGGGTTATCAGGGATGATTCAGAGTCCTACTGCTAATTTTGGGCCATTTTTAACAAGTGCTGGGGAAAGTATTTCTTTTTAAATACATCATTTTGCATTGATTTATGTTTGTGTGTGATTTGAATTCCTATTTTATATTCTCTACAGCATACTTATTTAAATTTTAATCTGAAATTCAAGCTCTAATTATATGTTTTCTTTCTATAATTCTTTTCCTTATGTACCATCATTTGGGGGCTACCATATTACCATATAGGATGTTTGTAATTCATCATTTACCTTCCCTAATTTTTCTGTTGGAATTTTTGTTTTTTTATTAAAAATCAAGATTTTTAAAAAATTTTTTTAAAGAAATTTAAATATATTTGAATATTCTTTTCTTTTTTTTCCCTCAAAACCGTAAGTTTATGAGCCCGCTTTTCATGATTTTTCTCCTAAGTGTAGCTCTAGTAAATTGTCCTCATGAAGAGGACTTCTATATATATAACAGAAGTGAATGATCTCTGTAAGACTGATGGTGGTGACCTCAGAAACCAAAAATTAAACACCCAAGTTAGAGGGGTAAGCAAAGGGGGTATAGATAAATCACCTGCCCAAACAGACCTTGTGATGTTTCCCAAGGGCTGCCCAAAAGGAATTCCCATGTTCTAAAAGTGTAGTACTTTCCCATTTAATGCATTTTTCTAAAGTAAATCTATTGCATTCTTCCTAAAATTGTCATCAAAGAAGACTGAAAAGCACCAGCAGACTTCCACTGTGTCAATATCCAAGAGACAGTAACTTATTAAATTTATCTACACTACTAGAAAACTGACTTTTCTAATGATAATACTAACAATAGAGGCTATCCTTTAATAAAGTTTCCACTGTGACAGAATCTGTCCTAAATGAGTACATTCATTATGTCTAATATCACTTCTACACTAGAAATCTCCGGCAAGAGTACCCTTACAAAGTTTGCTAACTAAACCTGCTGGGCTAGAATATGAGCAATCTCTTCTTCATATTTGACAGAATTAATAGACTTAGTTAACTTGTAGAATTTTTATAAGAATTGGAAATTGTATCTAATCCAGAGTCTTACATAGCAGATATGTGGTAAATGACAGCTCCTTTTGTTGGGTGTATATTGCTACTTCTTGCCATCATAAACACATTCAGCCCACTTTTTCTCTCCACTCAGCTTCAGGTCATACATACCCTAAATACCAGTGTCTCTGAAGTTGACTCCTTTGTTTCCTACCGACTTTTTTCATCGCCAACTTACTTTTCTTGAACATAGTAACTGTTCATTAATGGAAATTCAAAGATGATACATACAAAGAAAGACTGAATTCAATTAGTGAATGTTCCAAAGCTACCAGAACAGAGAAGCTAATAAATTCCTTTTGTTCATCTCAACAGACATGCCACCACTACTCTTTGAGGTGTCTTCTCTGGAAAATGCTTTTCAGATTGGAGGCCATCCTTGGCACTACATCATCACACCTAATAAGAAGAAACACAAAGGAGTTTTCCATATTTGTGCCCTAAAAGACAATTCCTTGGTAAATCATGAGTGATCAATTTTTAGTAGTAAATTTGTATCAGAAATTCTTTATTAGTTTCTAATAAGTCTACTTTCCTAAGAATTTTTTGTTTGTATTAATAATTTGTGAACGATGTACAGTGTAAGAGAATACAGAGAATTAAGCAAACACTTATTTGTACTACCCAGAATTTAAAAACCTCAAACTTTGAAAATTCTTGGGGCACCAAAGATTTAGTTTTTTTTTTCCCTTAACAAAATCCCAGTAAGGGGTCCCATGCAAAATGTTTCTAAAGCTCTCTAGTGGGACTACTTGATGGATGAAGACTGCCTCTGAAATTTCTGGGAATGTCTTGTTGATTTTGGTTCATCATGCTTTGTTGCTATTTGCTTTCCGGAGCAGAGCCAGACAGAACTCTGATGGTTATGGTTTACTAGTGGAAACTGTATGGAAGCACTCTAAATTTTTAAGGATATTCTTGTTTATTATGGCAGAATAGGGAGAAATGGTACATGATAAGGTAATAGAAGTTTGTAACTCTAGAATTAATTTTTCATTTTCTTTTTAAAAATAATTTTGGCATTGATTTATTATTTAATAATATTGAGGGCCAAACATGGACTGGGGAAACATTTCCTTCACTCAAGTTGCCTATACTCTCAAAAGAAAACAAAGATGTAGATGTAGTCTGTTAAGCACCATAATAGAAAGAGAAGTAAAAAAGAGTGAATGTACAGAGTTGCTGGGGGTTCTGTCTTTGTTTTATATTGCTGATTTAGTTTTGTTTACTTCTGAAGCCTTGATCAAATAAACTTACTTATTTTGGAGGGAGATGCAACTTATTCCACACTCATTTCTTCCATAATCTTGCTCAGTAACTTTTGAACACAGAGGCTTTTAGAGTCACGGGTCATCTCTCACCATGCTGGATATCAACGCAGTCTTAAGTCTTTTTATCTATTTCCCAGGATGTTATGGCCACCAGGGGAAACTGTATATAGTGTCTTCTAGCCTTCTTTTGAAGGAACATTGTTTCATTCCTTTTTCTGATTTGCCTATGATGTGTTGCAGCTCCTGTATGACCCACTTTAGGACATTATCTTTTATAAAGGGCTCTCTAGGGACTGTTTGCTGCTGTCAAGTCTGGTTTACCACTCAACCAATGGAATCCTTCCGCTACCAGGACCAGTCATGTTTCTTTTTCATTTAACTTTTCCAGTCATTTAAACCCTGAATAGTTTACATTCTAGGCATTCAGTACATGTTCTTTTTATATAAAACTGATAGTACATAATCTTTTCTGGATTTGTGTGTGTATGTGTGTGTGTATTTTTAAAATGACCTTCAGTATCTATGTCAAGCTTGGATAAAGCTAGTGAAGAATATATCCATGCTGGTATTATACAGTTTCCAGTACTCCCGTTTATAAGATAAATCGCTTATGTACATATGTGATCACAAATCACAGAGGTATCTTTTTCTTTATTTTAATATATTAATATCTAAGATAATTAATATCTAAAATATCTGTTTAATATTTAAATATACTATGAAATAAGACACTGTACTTGACTTAAATACAAAGCAGAATTGTACCATTTCGTCAGCTTTTTTTGCTATCTGTCTTATCCAAGGAGGTTATATGAGTTGTCTCTTGAGATTTTAGGTTTGGTTTCATGTTTTTTCTGTTTTGTCTGTTTTTGTGCTACCCACTCATGAATATCAGTTTGTTGGAGATGGGGAAGGAAGGAGGAGGTTGTGAGGAGGGGCTATATTTGCATAATTGGCAGAGTTATGTAATGGAAAGCCTATGAACTTTGGAGTCAGATCTGATGTTTAGTAGGTGCAAAATACTGAGCAAATGGTTGATCCTCATTATCAGTTTACTCATTCATAAAATGGGGATAACAATAAATGCTTTGAATGTTGTTAAATTTAAATTAAATGATTAAAAACATCAAATGATTAAAAACACAAAGTAGGTACTGGAGAGATGGTGATTGTTACATTACTATTTGTTAGGTATAATGCATGGCATATGGTAAGCCATTGAAATGTCAGAATTAAGTATCCTAATTCAGCCTTTCACACATCCCAGTTCAACTGGTCAACATTTTCTCTTCTCTCTACATTCCTTAGAATTATACTGATCTACACTAATGTTAGTTTTGGAAAAAAATTACTGTATTTTCCCTTAATCTTTATTTTCAATATTTTTTCCCAACTTTAGGCAAAAAATGGGATCCAGGAAATGGAGTGTTGTTCTCTAGAATCTGATTGGATCTATTTCCATCCTGATGCTTCTGGTAGAATAATACATGTTGGCCCAAATCAGATCAAGTGAGTATTTTAATTAGCTACTTAAAGTTCTTTAAAGTAACTTTAGGTAGCATATACTGCCGTCTTTATTTTCTCCTGCTAACTGTTGAGCTAACTGAGGGAATATTTAGCTTGTTTTAGGATGCTTCTTCAGAGTCTGGCAGCTAAAAATCCTAACTTTACTCTTTAAGTCTCATCATTACTCTTTGTAAGTATTACTCTTCTATAAGTCCTTGGATAGCTATTTTTTGAAAGGAGATTGCAGATTGGCTCATCCTCATCATGCCTTAATTAATTCTCTAGGACTAATGAGGGAGAAGATTATTTGTCTTTGTTCTGAAAGACAGCCTTACCAAAAGAGAAATAGCATGTAGTTTATTTTGTTTACCCACATCTTCCACACACTTCACCTCTTCTTCCGTGCACACTTCATTTAACTTCCTTGACACCACAGTTCTGAATAATTTCTTCTCTCTTTGATATTTCTTAATGTCCTCTATTGTTCTTCCTCTTCTACCCAGATTAATCTCTTCTCACGCTTCATTCTCTGTTCACATTTTCCTGTTTATTTTCTTGACTTTAAGGATGATGTACACACCAGAACTCCAGTATTTTTATCCTAGTCCAAATCTCTCACATAAACTCATGCCAGAAAATCTAGAATCATTCTTGGCATCTTTTTGTCTTCCATCAGTTATATTTGTCTTCCATCAGTTAAGTATACATGTTTACCACTCAGATATATTAATTCTCTCTTTTTCTCTCTTACACATACTCACACACACACCTACACACATACCCCGTATACCTGTCAATTCAGTTTATTTTGTTACTAAATATTTCTTAAATCTCTATTTCTGCCCTTGGCCCCCATCACCATCTTACTTAGGCTATTGTCATCACTATCCTTGACTTTAGTAATAGCCTACTTGTAGGAGTAGAGTTTACTTTTGCACTCCTTAAGTCTGTTTTCTTCTCATCAGCTACAGTGATTTTTAGAAATATGAGCAAACACAAAAACCTAGCTAAGTGAATTCACTTTAAATTTTTTATGGCTTTCTGTTGTTCTTAATATAAGGACAACATAGTTAGCATAGGCTGAAAGACCTTCTCACACTCAGTTCACTTCAGTCATGCTGTCTTTTCATAAAGCTGAGGACTTGTTTGCTCTGTTTAGGGGTCTGTTTTCCCTACTTGTTTAGCCTAATTGCTATTCATATTTAATATCTCAACTTAAATGTCACTTTTTCAAAGTCCTTTCCTGATACTCATGATTAGATTAGCTCCCTTCCTTATTTTCATTGCACCATGTAATCTTCCTCTACCACCTAGAGCAAATTTAATTATTTGTGTGATTATCTCTTTAAATACCTAGTTTTGGAATCATAAGCTCCCTAACACCAGGGAAAGAGTCTTTTGCTGACAACTGTAACCCTGGCATTGAGTATAATACCTAACACAGAGTAGGTGCTCAGTAAGTATTTGCTGAATAAGGACAATGTCTGCCTTCTTTTTTCCCTTATGCTTCCAGATAATTAGTCTACTTCTGTGGATTGATTATAAGGAGGATGAAGGGACTTAATGAAATAAGATTATGAACTTTTACAGAAAAGCTTAAAAACTGTGGTTCAGCTTTAGTAAATCTAAATTTTAATGTTTTTACTACCCATCCACCTTTTAATATTAGTCTCACTTTATGAAAATAAAGTCTACAAAGAGTGTGTGACCTTTTGCCAGGTTTTAAATGATAGGCATTTAAATATTGGCACTCATTAAGATAACTAATTGAGTAATTTAAATTATAATCTGATTTCTTTGTCTCTGGCAAACTCTATGGCCTCCCTCTCTTCCTGGCCACAGTAGCTGCTTTTCCCTGCTGTTCTCTTTGCCTGCATTTGAGACTTTAAACTTTGAGAACATTGTGCTTTTGAAGCTTGTTAATTCTGTGAACAGATTTGTGTGTGTGGTGAGCAAATTATTTTATTTTCTCTCTCTTAGTAAGCTTGATCCACAAGGCCATTTGCACTCAGAAATACTCAAATTTTAAAATATAATGCACAAAAAAAGGTATTAAGTCAATAATACAGTATTACTCTATCATGAGAATTCTTAGTTAAGGTTTTAGTTGCCTATTCAGTTGGCCTTATTTCTAAGTTTTTCATTAATATCTTTCATTCTATGTGTAGACATAAATATTCAAATATCTACTATAATGTCATTGTTAAAGCTGACAAATTAAGGTTCTGTTACAGGTTGGCAGGGGTGAGATTCTTCAGAGCAACTTTCATTAAGCTAGTTTGAAAGATGATATGGGCCTGAGCGAAATATGTTTAGTAGCACCTATTATTAATGTTCCTGTTTTACAAAATTCTGAATTTGAAGGATTTTATGAATATTTAAGTAATTTGAAATTCATTTTATGAACTAATCAGAAAAGGGAGTACTAATTCAGTGTTACTATAATTTTAATTTGTTGAGTTCATTTCAGTAGTATAACTTTGGCACTTTGATGGTGTAGTTAGGTTTTCGGTTCTTAGAACTTTTTTTCCCTTTTCAGAGTTTTAAAGCTAAATGAAGTAGAAAATAATAGTGCTCAGCATCAGATCTCTGAAGATTTTGTCATTTTGGCCAATAGGGAGAAGAACAAAGTAAGTCAGGAGTACTTCTAAATGCTTCGTATATCACTGTCTTTTTGTATAAGAATATAATATAAAAATGTTTTGCCTTTTTAGTGTGATGGAAAAGAATAGCATAATCCTATAAAAATGTGTTCATTTTGTCTACTTAGCTATCCAGTCAGCCTCAAATACATGAGAGATTTAAGGAGAGTTGATTATATTGAGTTTATCTTTTGCTTATTTCTATTTTCTTTCTGGGTTTCTTTTAAATTTTTATTGATGAATTTTCTTTCTTTTTTTTTTTTTAAAGATTTATTTATACAAGAACCGGGGTACAGGCCAGATGCACGGGAGGGTGAGAGGATTCACCAGAGACAGAGCAGGGAACAGAGCAGGCAGAAGGACTGAAATACACTGCTGAGGGAGCTGTGGGCAAGACAGGAGAGGTCTGCACGCCATGTGGGATTCTTACCGGCTGGCCAGGATCGAACCCGCGCTGCAGAGGCTGCGGACAGCTTCACAGTGCGGCGCTCAACCGCCTGCGCCACCAGGGAGGCCCTATTGATGAATTTTCATCCCAAAAGTTGAATGAGGGAAATTTCCAAAAACAGCTTAACTTTTTATTTGTTATATTATATTAAGGCAAAAATCATAGGAGCAGTAAAGTAGCCAATCTGTAACTTGTATATATATTTTCCCTGTTTTGTGGAAATGTAGTATAATAAAGTATTATTACTAATTGGAGGATCAGAACTCTGTTTCAGAATTGTCTCAGTTGAGGAAAGAATTATGGATATTGGGTGAAGGGTTGGTTAGTTTTACAAATTTCATAATTCAGTTTTGCCATTGAAAATAATAGAACTTGTCATAGCTTTTTATTTCTCTCCATATGCTAGAGTGAAAACTTATTCACTGTTACATCTTCTGGACGATTGGTAAAAAAAAAAATCAGCCTTCTGGATGACGACCCAGAACAAGAGGTATTACTTTAACCAGAGATAACAAGCCAAACTAGTATGTACTTACCCTGTGGTGTTTTGATTATGCTTCCTAAGCCCTGGGGTAGAGTTTAGGGGTAAGGAGCCTAAGTTGGTATGATTGTGCATGCTGTTTCAACTAGTATGTCTCCTTCATCCTTTCTTTTCATATTGGAATTATTCATAAGCTGTTGTTTGTGGAAAGACTCATAGAATTGAAATATTTTTTTAAACTGTTAGCTTATTGTTTTGTTGATATGCATACTTGCTAGGAAAAATCTTTTAACAGAAAATTCTTGAGTCATATCCTAATGACTTTATAACTTTAGTCTAATGTTTTACTTACTAGACAAGTATATCTTCGTTAATTTACATAGACCAGGGTGTGAGGATATAGTAAATCATTCAGCCTCTGCCCTCAGCTTTCTCAGTTTGACATTGCCAGTCCCTGAGCTTGTACATTGTACCCTTTTTTTAAAAGATTATAGGAAGTACTTATGAAATCAACTAAAAATGATCTTGCTTCACATACATAACTTCTGCAAAAAATACTAAGTCTGTTTAAACCACATAACTATATTGTGTGACCACTAATAGGCGAAACATTAAAGCAGCTTTCCAAGGATAGTTTTTGAAAATCTTTAAAATAGGTTATAAGTAGCCCATTATATGACTATCCTCAAATATATATGGACCACTGAAATCTATTGAGAACAAAGCAAAAAGCACCATACCCTGTGTATAAAACTATATTCAAGAAAATCATAATAAAATTACCAAAAAACAAACAAACAAACAAAAAGTAGTAAGAATAATTGCTGTGGGAGAGGGGAAGGTGGTAGCAGAGATATACACTACATCATAAGATTAGAAAACAAAAAATTTTATCCTGTAAAGGAAAAACTGAGGAGGTTGTAACTAAAATCTTTAAAATCACTGATATTCAAATGAGATGTTAGCCTTTGAAGTTTGCCTAAGTTAAGATTAAGGCCAAAAAATTAAAATGAACCACAGGTAATAAAATCTGTGTACATATTTATGTCAATTGGTAGTAAAGGTAAAAAACACAGAATTAAAAAGCAATTTGATATTGCGCTTAGTACTATGCTCTCCAATTCCATCCAAGTTGTTGCAAATGGCAAGAGTTCATCCTTTTTTGTAGTTAGTGGTATTCCATTATATATGATACAGTCCTCTGTTCTTGGGCACTTAGGCTGTTTCCATAATTTAGTTATTGTAAATAGGGTTGCAGTGAACATTGGAGTGCATATATACCTTCAAATTAGTGTTTTGTATTCTTTGGGTAGATTCTAGCAGTTAATAAATAATTTATGGGGAGGCAGTTTTACCAAATATGAGTGGATTAATGTGTGGTAATTAAGAGAAACTTGCTATGCCTGCCAAGATGTGCCTTCCTGTCCTATAGTCCTTTTATGAATGACAGGGGCATTAATCTGCTTCACCTGTGAGTTAATTGGTGCCCCAGGTTTCGTCCTTGAGACAGAGTTCTGGGGTTAGGGTTTTCTCTGTCAAGTCTATACCAACATTAACCCTTTACACTCCGCTGTCCCCTCTCAGGGGACATTGGTAGCCAATGTCCAGAATGGTTCGGAGTGCAAAGGGTTAATTATCTCTTAATGTCTCTTCTCTTAGTCTTGTTCTGTGGGTTAGACTTCAGTTTCTAGAATTCTCCCTTAAGTGTAAGCAGTCATTTTTGCTTTTTTTTAGAGAACCAAAAGGTTTTTTCTTTACTTTTTTTTTAAAGAATGGAAAATAGAGTCATAAATATTGCATTTAAATAGTTCTTTTGGAAATGACTTGTGTTTTTCTGGTGTAAGTACTTTACAAGCACAGTAGCATCTTCAGGTTTCAGAACTTAGCTTTATAAACTTCGTGCTATGTGGGAATTATGTCAGAGGCCGCAGTTGAATATCTCTTGAATTTGGAGACACTCTGGTTTGCTCTTATAGTAGAGGAATTTTGTACTCTGGCTAATATCTACACAGACTTGTTATGTTTTTCCAAAATATGTAGGATACTGCTTAATTCTTGAAAATCTTAGGACTGCTGTTTTACAAGACAAATAGAGACACATTTCTACCTATGCTTTCACCTTTTGTTTTTACATATTTTATAAGTAAATGAATAGCTAAATTATAAATATGGAAATAATCCTAATGAATAGCTGAATTTTGTTCTTCTTTTCCTGTTTTATCCATCTATCCCATGAGACTTTCAAAATTGTGGACTATGAAGATGAGTTGGATTTGCTTTCTGTAATAGCTGTTACTCAAATAGATACTGATGGAAAAGCTCATCTGGATTTCCACTGTAATGAATTTGGAACTTTACTGAAAAGCATTCCACTAGTGGAGTCATGGGATGTGGTGAGTAAGATCCCTGGAATACAAACTTGTAAGAATTTTCTTTATAGGTAACATTGATTGTAACAGATGTTACTGTGTTCCTGTCAGTCTAGACTCATCCTTAACAATGACCATGTGAAAGAGGCTATCATCCTTTATGCAGGACAAAATGAATACAAGATGATGCCCCCTTACCGGTAGCCTTAAAGATAAAGCTTTATGTTTCTTCCTGAGACATGCTATTTCCTTATCATAGTCTTTGATTTTCTCATTTTATAAGTTTGGTGATATGAAAAAAAACTATACTGTAATGAGTCCCTACTTATTTAATCGAGACCATATCTAAGCATTTAGGGTTTCCTGGCACTCTTAGAAGCATTTGTCTTATATATTGAGACAAATACATATTGAGAATAATATATTGCATAATATTGATTATTATAGAATATAAAGGTTACAAGGAGCAGGAGACATTATTTTACCCAATCCTTGTTTTATCAGTGGAGAACCTTGAGAGGTGTAGCAATTGAGCCATGGTCACACAGTGAAATATTGCCAATAGAATCTGATTGGTCAGGCTCCTAGGTCTAGGGTTCTTTTCATTTTCAACATTTTGTGTAATGCTTTTCTCATAAGTAATCTCTGTATCCACAAATAATGAAAAATAAACTACTTAAGGCAATATTTTGCTCTAAATGTATATTTGAAGAGCCCTAGCATAGATGCTGTGACATTTTAGAAATAGTAATAATAAATAGGGTTATGTGCAGAGGCGATACCATTTGACTGTATTTTTATTACAGACATATAGCCATGAAGTCTACTTTGACAGAGACTTGGTACTACACATAGAACAGAAACCAAACAGAGTCTTCAGCTGCTATGTTTACCAGATGGTGTGTGACCCTGGTGAAGAAGAAGAAACCACAAGCAAAATTTGTGGGAAAAAAATAAGATAATTTAAAATTTTCAGATGTTACTTGGGATACTTTTAGCCACACACCCAAGCAGTATGTCTAGTCCTCCTTTTTATTATCTGCATAATAAGCTCTACAGTATTTTCCAGAGAAGTTCTTGTTTTGACCTCAGACTACTGTGACTTCTTTATTATACTTTACTATATAAGATGATGAGGACATCATTTTATGTAATAGTTTATTAGAATGGAATTCAAAGAAGTCTAGCATATTAGAGCTTTTAGCTGGTAATGCAGATATAAAATCCTGGGAGCAGAAAAGGAAGGGCAGTTTAATTCCAGGTGCTGGGGAGAGTCATTAAAGGTTTTTTAAAGAATGGTATGGAATTTTGATTGAAAACTAAGAGGAAAAAAATATTACAAAGACTACATTAAGATCCTGTGATCTCAATACCAAGAGACATTTGCTTAAGAAATGAGATCTGTAGTGTGAAACATACTTTTGAGCCAAAAAATACATCACAGTTTTTTTTTAAATCTTATATATGTTTGTATTTGTTAATAATATCAGGAATTGGCTGTAGTTCCCCTGTGTCTTTTCTTCCATGGTTTTATTCTCTTGATGCTCCCATTGTTTGTGTTTTTATTATAGATTAATGTAAAGGATTCCAAGCAACTTGGAACTTTTTTTAAGTGAACTTTTTTCCCAGTATGTAGCTTAGTTAGCTCTTAATATAGCTAAGAGTATTGTTATCATTTCACCATTCTGTTTATTTGGTGAGTCTTCCGATTCTGCCTCGGCATCATTCTTATGCCTCTGCAATGAGATATAGGTATCCTGGGTTGCACCAAGAATTCTTACTGGCTTGGGAAACAATTAGAAAAAGATTTTGACTCCATCTTATTTGTGAAATAAGTATTTTTTTCCCTTTCTTCAAACCAGTCTAAATAAGATCATTGAACTCAAATAATCACTCTTCAGTTATGGGGCCCACTACCTTAGAGGTGCTAGTGAGAGTCATAAAACATTATGGGTAACGTTTCTGAGTTTTTAACACAAGTTTGAGCGAAATAAGGTTGCTTCTTAACAGCAGTTCCAGATATTAAGCTGATATTATTAAGATATTAAGCAGTTATTAATACCAGATATTAAGCTTAACAGCAGTTCCAGATATTAAGCTATTTATGTCTACACTTCACTCCTTGACCTAAGACTCTGTATTCTCACAGTATCAGTGCGGCAAGGTGATGATTCTTTGATTTACTAAAACATTTCTTGTAACTCTAAGAGAAAACCAAATTTTGTTCTAGTTACTATTTAAACTACTGAGTGAGGAGATAATACTGTTTAAACCAATGAAGGTGCTCTGCATCCCTCCACCAACTGAATGTTTTGTTTCTTGTACATCTGTATAAATAATGGCATTTATTTATTGAGTGCTTTCTATCTGCCAGTCACTGTGATAAATGTAAAATCAATTGTCTCACTTAAAATAACCATAAAGAGTATAACTACAATTATCCTTCCTTATTTTACAAATGAGGAAAGTAATGTTTACAGAAGTTAATTTTCTTAAGGTACGACAACTAATACATGCAGAGGTGGAAGCAATTTCAAATTTGTTTGACACAAACTTATTTCTTCCAAAGCAAAGCAAAAGACGGTGTTATTTTATCCCCTGTATAACCTACTGACAAATATATATTGGCTATTTAGGAAAATGCTTTATAAGTATTTTTTAATGATGTTTGGATATCCAAATTTTGGACAAAGTTTGGATGAGACACAGTTGGCCTATTCACAGATAATTTGACATAGAAGATGGCTCTTCATCCATTGGTTAAAAGTCATTTTTGAAATGTACAAAAAATGGTACTTGCAGTCCTGTTGTGATAATAAATACCAGTATCAGTAATTACTCTTACTATAACTTGACTTCTTTTTCAATAACTTGTATATTTTCTGACCTTTCTTTACCATATTTTAATAAATCATCTCCCTTTTAGAATACCAGGGAAAATTCAGGGGTTAATTTCTATTCCCTGTGTTGCCATAGAATCTCTATGTTAAAAATTTTAATTTAATTCAAAGAGTACATTATTTATTTAATTCAAAGAGTACAAATTTTCAAGCATACAGCAAACTTAACAGAATTGTATATACCTAAATACTGACCATATGTATTCTACATTTTATTCTACATGTTTTATTATCTGTGCTACTTTATGATGGAAGAAATTAAATCAAAATAAATTGTTAGCATGAGTATACTTCTTTTTAATAATTCAACATGCATATCATTAAGTAGAGTTTAGCACTGTTTAATTTTTAAATTTTGATGTGCAGTTATATGCAGTGAAATGCACAAATGTTAAGTATAAATTTACTGAGTTTTTACAAACGCATACACCCGTGTAACCTAAACCTTTATCAAAATTTAGCCTGACAGTTGTCCCAGAAAGTTTCCTCATGCCCTTTTCAGTCATTCCCCCACCCCAACTCTCAGTGTAACTACTCTTCCAATTATTTTGCCTCACCATTTAAGTTGGCCTATTCTCACTTCATGTAAATAAAATAAAAAAAAAATAATGGTTCTCGCAGCATGTTTTTGAGATTAATTCACATTGCATGTATCGATGGCTCATTCCTTTTTATTGCTGTGCTGAGTATTTTGTATGAATATGCAGTTTTTCCATTTTCCTGTTAATCAACAACTGGGCTATTTCTGCCCATTTTAGAAAATTGCCATGAATAAAAGCCTCTATGAATATTATTTTACCAATTTTTGTGAATGTATGTTTTTATTTCTTTTGGATAGGAATCTAAGGATGGAATTGTTTGGTCCTAGGGTCAGTGTATGTTAATAACAAACTGCCAGACCGTTGTAACATTTTACATGGCTGCAACGATATAAGAAACTTTCAGTTGCTCCATATTTTTGCTAACATTTGTGGTTACTAGTCTTTTTTACCTGATCATTTATGGTGGATATGTAATCATTTCTAGTTGATACTTAGATTGTTTCTACTTGTGCCTAGCAGCTCTCTCATTAGGTTGACATCTTTATTCTTTTTAATACCTTCCCCTGCCCCCAGCCAGGTACTGCTAACAACATTCTTTCTTTGTAATAATACTTAAAATAATCCAAAACTCAGCTTGAGTTATTCTTTCTTAAACATGATATACATTGCTCACCAGTTTCATGAAGACCCTCATTAGAGAACCAGCCTGGATTGCTAAGGGCACAATAGAATTTTCTACATGACTATTAGAGCCAGACAGGTGGCACCAGAGAAAAGGCTACACGGAACATTGTAACAAAGCAGAAAATGACTTTTTTCTTTAAGGATTATGAGATATTATTTCTGAATCAAGTGAATTTTTATTCTAATATGAAAGTATATTAAGCAGTTTTAACCTTTTCCCAGTAACTCTATTGAGCCTGTGTGTGTGTATTGATTAATGTGCATAATTTATTTTTTCTTTTTGCTATGGTAACATTGATTTACAACACTGTATGTGATTCAGAAATATAGGTTCAAATATCTTCAGATGTATGTTACCACATACACCCCTTTATTTTCAACCTTCCCTCTACTCCTAGCCTCAATTCTACAGTCAGATTTCTAGGCTTGTTATGGTTTAGTTTTGTATGTCCCTTTGTTTTGTTTCTCTATATACTACATGTGGAGTGAAATCATCTTTCTGACTTATTTGACTTAGAATAATCCCCTCCAGTTCCATCCATGTTGTCACAAATGGCAAGATTTCATCTTTTTATAACTGAGTAGTAGTAATCCATCATGCAGATATTATTCTTAATCCATTCATCTGACAGTTGCACACTTAGGTTGTTTCCATAACTTGACTATTGTAAATAGCACTGCAATGAACACAGGAGTGCAAATATCCCTTTCCATTAATTTTGTCATTCTTTGGATAGATACCTAGAAGTGGAATGGCTGGATCATAAGTAGATGTATTCTTAATATTTTGAGAAACTCCCAAACTGTTTTCTATAGACCATTCTACCTTCCTACTAACAGTGTACAAGAATTCCCTTTTTCCGACATCCTCACCAACATTTATTTCTGGTCTTTTTGATATGGACCATTCTCACAGGTATGCAATGGTATCTTTCTGATTTTTTTTTTTTATTGGATATTGATGTTGGAATCTGTCAAAATGCTTTTTCTACATCTATTGAGATGTCATAGGATTTTCCTATTCCAATCTAATAATATGGTAAGTTCATTTTTTAAATAAAACCAACCCTGAATTCTTGAGATAAATCCTCCTGAAACATCTAAATTTCTAACTGTATTTCCGCAATTCTACTTTTTCACATTGTGTTAATTTTACAATAATAAGTTCGTAAAGTTTACCATCACGTATGTACTATGGTATGTCTTAATACTTTCAAGATTTTTTTAAATTTAGATGATTTTATTCCTTTACAATAAAAATTCCCGACTTTTTTCCCCCTTCTCAAGTGGTTTCATTCTCAAATACCCAGAACTTAGCAGGTTTGCTCATAACCTTGGAGAAGCTTTCGGCATGTTGTCAGCCTCTGTCCTTGCCTTAGTTCATATACTAAGTAAAATCATATCTGAAGTAAAAAAGTAGATTAATACCTACCATACCCTAGTTTCAACCCATTTTAATTCAATAGAGTTTGAGACCTTGCACCACCATGGAAGTGATGGAACTTAATAGTCAACTAAATTTATAAAGATATAATCAGTGAAAGGATTCGTATGAAAAACACTCTGCTCAGGTAATTTGTATCCATAAATTGAGTTCACAATGAAATTTTCTAATGAAAATTACAAAAAAATTCCTTACCAATTCTTTGACCAATAAGCTTAAATCTCAAATAATTATTTTTTGTTTTCTTGTAGGAAGGTAACTGCTTAAGTCAACAGTCATTTATGAGTCTTTCTATTTTAAAGACCATTTTTCCTTTGACAATCACAAGTGCCAAGGGCACAGCTTTTCAAGATGTATGTGTAAGAGCAACAATGCTGGTTAAAGCATGTTTAAAAATAGTAGTTTAAGAGTCCTTCTGGTACTTAGTTCCCTCTCTGTAATCTGTCTTATCTTTTTACAGAGCAAAGTCAGTGAGAATGAAAGCATTTCCCGGCTCCAGCCCCTCCTGCTTATAAAGCCTGTTATTACATAATATTTGCTTGACTTGCTGACTGACAGTCTAATGTTAAAAGAGGTTCTTGGGCCCACTGCTACATCTCATGATATCTGGGAGTTTGTCTTGCTCCCCCTTATCAGTTGGACTCCTGACCCAATGGTTTTCTAATGTGTAGGGTGCCTCTACCACTGTGGGTAGGATTAGAGTGATCATATAATTCATTGGCCAAACACAAACACTTCTGAGAGTGAAGAGAACCATTACCAACCATTATGCCTAGACAATAGGCATTAACCAAGCCACTTCTGAGCATGAGTGTGGTCCCCTAGCTAGAGCTAACAGAAGTAACTGGGAAATTTAAAATCTGTCCATTACAGGGACCTCCTTGGTGGCTCAGCAGTTAAAGTCTCAGCACTATCAAGCTATCTCGAGCCACTGTAGTATGAGTTCGATCCCAGGCCAAAGAGCTAGCCCATATGGCACAGCAGGCCCCTTTCTGTCTCCCCCACTTCTCCCCTCAATAGTGTATCTCAGTTGATCCACCTGTTCTGCTCCCCCCTCAGTCTCTGGTGAATCCTCTCACTCCCTCACCCCCGCCCCGTACCTCTGGCCTACACCCCAGTTCTTGTATGCATACATAAATAAAAATAAATCTTTTTTTTTTTAAAAATGTCTGTTTACATAATGTGAGGTCTTTTCAATTTCTCAGTCAAGTGGACATATTTCATTGAAACAATTACCCATTTTTCATCCACAAACTGTTTTCAGTTCCCTGTGCCAAGATATTAATAGGTCTTGTTACTATCTGGTATCACAGGGTATTTTCACCTGCAATTTACCTTTGTTTCTTTCAACCTAAATCTGTCCATTTACAGGGACCTCCTTGGTGGCTTAGCAGTTAAAGTCTCAGCATTATCAAGCTATCTCCAGCCACTGCACTCTGTGGTTTTGGTGGCACTCACTTCTGACACCAATCTGTATCAAGGTGGAAAGTCATATGAATGATAGAAAGTCATATGAATGATTCTCTACAGTTAGAGAATAGGAAAATCAAAATAGGAAAGCATGTGAAAATTTACAAAGATGATTCAAAAAAAGCGGGGAACCATATAACATACTGGAGGTACAGCATTTACAAATTCTCACAAGAAAACAGCTATTGATGATAGTATTTATGCAAGACTGGGGGTGGGAGGGGGGTGTCCTCTAAACATGAGTTGCTCAAGTTTGTCTTGTTTGAGGGAGTTTCATACTTCCCTGGTTCTAGAGATTTTGGCTCTGTGCTTTCTATAAGCCCAATATGAATACTACAAAGCAATTCCAGCACATTCCACAGTTTTTACCACGAGATTAGGTAAAGTGAAGGTCAAGTTCCTAAACCTAACACCCTTCAGACATCTACATACCTGTCTGGGGCCCATTTCTATGTGAATCCCGTGTTGCCAGGGCTCATGATTATTTATGGTAGAAATCTTGATTTATGTTAAATAATTTAATTTTTAAATGATGGCCCTTAATTCTGACTTTAAAGCACTATACAAGACAAAAAGATTAATCTGTAGGCTCATGATTGTTCTCTAGGTTATTCTTAGGTTTACCTACCAAGGGCCAATTGTTTTGGTAGTTATGTGTGTTACTATAATTATATAATTTATTAATACATGAAATGTGAGTATTAAAAAGACCTGCTAAAATCAAGTCACTAAAAATAAGGACTGGACAAAAGAGCAGTAAAAGATTGAAAGATCTCTTAACTTCAACTCCCTCCAAACCAGATCCTGAAGCAAAAGCTCATGTGCTACTTCTCCACTCAGAAGTGAAATCTCAGCAGGAATAGGGAATGGGCAGAATGAAGCAGACCCACAAGAAAACTCAATATGAGAATGTGAGATCAAATTGGCCACTGCTAGGTGCAACTAAATGCTTAATCTCATGGACCAACTTTAGGAAGTTGGATAACTGTGCCTCAGGGTAATATGTGAAGGACAGGTTGGGGGAAATGGTTGAAGAATTTATCCTTCGGCTCTTACCTGCCACTCATCAAAGTCTCACCCAAAGAACATAACTTCCATGAATTTCCCTGTTGTATTGGCAACACCACACTAATAAATGGGTGTCATGGAGCAGACTACACAATGCAGGATGCTGCTGAAAGAGCAAAATCCTGGCCTTTTTATTCATAGAATAATCATACAGCGTCAGCTGTGTGGGGGAGGACAAAGAGAAAAAGGAGAGGTGAAACTAAAAAATGTACTCTGTCATCTAAGGCTTCAGGAATTGTGAGTCTGCTCCCCAGGCATTTTTTATCTACTTGATGACTCAGTATAATGATCAAAATCATGTCCTAAACCCCCGCCCCCAACATGATTCAATCTTATCAGCAAGGCATTCCTCTGATCAGCTCCCAGGAGGCCTGGTTATACATCAGTCAACAGCCCACAGGGCATTCCTGGTTATATCTCATGATGTGTATATACCCTTTGTTCCAGGGTGATCAAGCTTTCTGCTCTTGATTGATTTGAAAGGCACCTTGTAGGGTTGAACTACATTAACAAAAATGGTGGCTGAGCAGGCCACTTAAGTCTAGCAGACCCACATTTCCAGACTGCAAAAGCTGAATTCACTTT